ACCCAGCTAGTAAAAATACTGCATTTAAAACATCAGCTTTGAAATATGTCTTTAAGCTATAGAGACACATTAGGGTTGATTTGCTTAAAGCTGAACTAAACCCACTGGTTTAACTGTTCCCAAAATGATTACATTCAAGGCATGCCTCTGGTGATAATGGTCACAGTTGCCAGGAAGCTTATGCCAGCTTTTGACAGGACCTGGGATGTTAGCGGCGTACACAGGAGTCAGCCTAGCCCAAATTTCTGCCATTTCGGGCAGCGGTTGGGGGAGGATGCTGCTTATTGCAATAGTCGTTTTTATGACAGTTGATGAATGAAGGCAATGTAAAAAGGTCTGTGAGAGGGCTTAAGACATAGAAATGTAGAGGGAAAATCCCCTTTGAATTGAATGGAGCTGTGTACTGTGGATCTCTGCTGGAGCCACATTCAAAAAATTAATGTAAACATGCCCAAAAGATTTTCATTAAAACTGGCTGTAACCCCCATAGAAGGTCATGGCTTCACAATGGAAGTATACATCAGGGGTAAAATGGGGTGCTCGGGACTGTCCATAATTTTAAAGGGTGCCCCGGGACTGTCCATAATTTTAAAGGGTGCCTTGATTGAAAAAAGGTTGAGAAACTGGACTATAGTATCCTTTGGTATCAACTGTAGTTTTTGATTTCTTTTCGCTTTCTGTCTCAGTAATACTGGTCACCCAGACAATAAACAAAAGATTAAGTAAGGATAAAGCCAGCAATAAAAAACTTGACATGGGTTCTATTCCTTCTCTACTATATCCAAATTGTACCAAAAAAAAAGGTTTGGCTTTACTCTGCAATAGTGCTCAAGTGAAAAACTGTACTCGGATTGATGCTCGGTGGAAAAAAAAACAATCTGCATTGCTGTTCAGTGGAAAGATTAAACTTGTGTTGCACCCTCCTAGATAGGTGCTAGGTTAGGTGAATTTAGTTCTTTAGCTCTGCTGTAATCAGTGAAGCTGCCTGTGATTACCCTGGTCTGCTCTGAGTTTCACAGGCTGTGAGTTTGGCTGCTTCCCTCACCTTTTGGATGGTTCTGGAAAGTAATGGACAGGGAAAGTCAAATCTGCAGTATGAATATTTATGTGGTGCCAGCCAATCCTGCCCACATGGTGGCTGGGAGAGAGCATAAATAGTTTAAGGCCTAAAAAAGAGGGGTTCTTGTCCAGGAGTAGAAGATTCCAGTCTGAAGGGCTGCGGTCCTATGGGCAGTCCCATTGTGCTTATGCATTTGCTCACTGAGGTCCGAGCTGAGCTATCTGGGAGGCATATTATGGTGAACTTTGCTGGAGATGACTAGGGGATTTCCTTTTGTGGATCTGGTCTAAAATGTTCACGGTAGAAATGCCTGGCTGATAATGGAAGGAGGCATTTAGCTATCCAGAGACATTTGTGAGTACAGACCGATATGTGAGATCCCATTAACTGTGTGATGCTGCTATCCCTCTTGCATCAGAGTCAGCTTGTACTAAAATGTACATTGCTTATGGTGTCCCTGTGTAGCTCAGCCCATTAGTTACTGCTGCAAGGACTGTACTAAGAATATTTGAGCAGAAGATAAGTGTTCTCAAGTTACTACTTAACATTATTGGAGTAACCCATGGTTATCCCTCACCCATCCAGGTGCAAATTTTCAATACAGCATCACAAAAGGATTCTCCTAGACTAATCATTGAGCCAGAAGAGTGTCAGAGACTGTGTACTTAGCTGCTGGTGCATGTATTGGTGAGGGAACCTTGGGACCAAAGCAGGCCCTTTTGGGGGTGAGGGCTCTAGTTGCACTGATGTTCACTAAAAAAAATAACCTACATTGGTGCTCAGTGGCAATTTTCAACATGTATTGTGGTTTTTGGCAATATTTATCAGGTGCTGGAACGTTAAAGGTGCAATCAGGTGTATATGAATCCACCACAATAGTGGACAGTGGCGGAGCATATGACTCAACTGTAACATTAGCCAGCAGCTAAACCCCACAGGACCCTAAATTGAGAAACCATGGTGTAATGGTTTCTTGTATCTTTTTAGGTATCTTGTGGAGGAGATCTCTGCTTCTAATATCCCATATCTGCACACCTGACATAGCCAATACAGTGGGTCCACTTTTCATGTTGGATGTTTAGTTTATTTTATGCTATTAAGAATGCTGCAGGAGGAGCTGGAACACCCAAAAGTAGGTTATAACACTCCCATAAGTGGACATTTTAATGATTAGAAATATTGTATACGTATATTTGTCTTAATAATAATCTTAGCGCTGCACTTTTTCTATATATTTTACACTCAAGGCAATTCATGGTTTTGCAACAGCCGCTCTTATAACTTAGCGCTCGCTTTTATTATTTATGCATTTATAGGTTATAACACACACAACTCTTGAATAGGTCAGGAACAGTGCCAGAGATTATGGGAAGGACATGATGTTATGAAGTTGCCAAGAAATATAGGAAGCTAGAACATGAGTAACCTTATAAAACTTCATCTCTAGACCAAAAATCACCTCATGGTATTGTAAGAATGATGAGTGTATTTATAAATGTATTTTCCCACAGCAACAAGTCCAATGGTTCTTTTCCAGAGAGATTTTAATGGGTTCAGAAACAATCCATAAAACAGAGGTACAGACAATGCAGATGACAGGGTATCTAGAATATTCATGCAATTATCAGACTTCTTCAGAGGACCTGTTGTGTAAAATACATCTACCTCAGTCAGATGCTGGGCTGGTCAATAACATAAATATACTATATATATATATATATATATAATATAAAAAATAAATATATATATATATAGTTACAATTACAATATGCTACAGGTGTACTGATCAACTTTGGTATATGGCATATCAGTCTTTGCCAGATTTATCTACACCAGTTGGGAAAGTCCAGCTCAGATAAAAAACCTTTTGTTTTAGTTTTGTATTAAGGAGCTTGTGTTGAAACCTCTGTTTTTTTATTTTAATCAGTTTCCCCACTGATGAAGGGTCAAAAGCAAAGGAAGTGATCGGATATCTCTTGTGGTGATTGAGACAGCAATAGAAGCACATTTTGTTTGCCAGTATAGCACTACCCTCATAGGAGCCACTTGGTATCTTGAGTTCTCTGTTCTTTGTCTTGACTCTGTGAACAACCTTGGGCCCTTTGACACACCTGGTAACACAAATGGTTATTGCAAATACTTATGGGAGTACAAATATAAATGTCCTGCACACAACTATACCCCCAGTGTCAAGGAATGAACACCAGACTGGTTACCTGTAAATAGAAAAGATACATTGTCTCAATTTAAGGCAGATGGCCACACACACTTGAATGAAAAGACAGAAGTATCAAATGACTCAAAGTATAGTAATCAGTGGGATTTCTAGTCTGTAGCAGTTTTAGGATAGAACACTGCACATAATTAACAAGTCAGTGCAGCAATAACAGTGATAGCAATGAATGGATAATCCCACATCAACTGTTCTGCTGTAGAAGCCTATACCCACTTCATAGGGCACCCCAAGAAAAAAAAGGCTATGATGGTTAATGTAACTCTGACTATGGGAAATTAAAAGTGAAGTTTTGTTTTTTTTCCCCCAAAATTATATTTACATAAGTAGATGCAGCATTGCTCTGATGTCCATCTGTCCCCCCGGCAGCTCTAAGCATGAGAACTCAGCGATCACATGACTGCTGATCACCATTGTGAGCAGAGATTGGTAACTGTCAGTCACACTGTCTACTCTGCCTCCCCCACCACCACACTCACTGGAGCACTGGGCTGTGGATTGGGAGGGAGCAGTTTGTTCAGGCTCTCAGTGGCTTGCTGAGAGGCTGAGCCAGGTGCCACTCCAGACTCTGGGGTGGATCTCGACTTTAAAGTTGGGATCTTTCCGCAGCCTGGACTGGCTGAGTGATGTCAGCCGACAGTGGGCATCAGCCCTCTTTCAGATGAAAATGAGTAACAGGAGTGCAATATGAACTGCACTCCTGTGATCTCCAGAAGTACAACCAAGTGCTTTGGCTGTACTTCCCCTTTTAGACCAGTTCCTGTTGGTTGGCATGCAGTTTTTAGCTCTGAACCTTCATGCGGCCAGTGTTGGAGACCAGTCTTTAAAGTGGTACACATAAGTACAGTCCCTTTAAAGTCTACATGCAGTGATTCAAACCACTAAGTAGATGATCAGTCTCTCTAGCCACAGTCTCTGCTAGCAGTGGTAAAACAATCACGGCCATCGCCTCTCACCAGTCTCAGCAATAAAGCAAGCCTTTACCCATGTAATCAGCTGTGGGCAATCCTTCCAACTCTACACTGAGGGCACTCTGGTCACAACACTCCGGTTCTCAGCACTCCAGTCATCAGCACTTCAGTCACAGGTTGTAGCAGGCAATTGTGCAAACTATGACAGGGGTGTGCACTCCCCGATATACCCACAGCAAGAGGAATTCCTTTCCTTTCCTCTCTGTTTCTAGCCAAGCACCTGCCTACTCTAGAGTAGGAACAGGTTAGAACATACAGTGCTCAGCATAAATGCTTTTGAAAAGTAAGATTTTAATCAATATCTAAATGAACATAAGAACAATTTCCAACATTTTGACAAAACTGAGTTTTATAGAACATTTTTTTAGCTCATTACATGAAAGTAAGGTTAATAATATAACTTAGAGTACAAAATCTTCAGTTTTTACTCAAATAAGTTGATGAAAAATGAATACACCCCACAACAAAAATGACTCCATCTAGTATTTTCTATGACCGCCATGATTTTAAGGACAGCACCAAGTGTTCTAGACATAGAATGAACAAGTTGGAGACATATTGCAACATCGATCTTTTTCCATTCTTCAATAACAACCTCTTTTAGAGCCTTTAGAGCCTGGATGCTGGATGGAGAGTGATGCTCAACTTGTCTCTTCAAAATTCCCCATAGGTGTTTGATGGGATTCAGATCAGGAGACATACTTGGCCAATGAATCACTTTCACCCTCTTCTTCTTCAGAAATGTAACAGTGGCCTTAGATGTGTGTTTTGGATCATTGTCACATTGGAAAAGTACACGACGACCAAGGGCATGTAGTGACGGTAGTATCTTCTCTTTTAATATAGAGTAGTATATCTGTGAATTCATGATGCTATCAATGAAATGCATCTCCCCGACACCAGCAGCACTCATGCAGCCCCACAGAAGGACACTGCCACCATCATGTTTCACAGTAGGCACCATGCATTTTATCTCTGTACTCCTCACCTTTGTGAGACCATACAGTTTTGAAGCTATCAGTTTCAAAAACATTTATCTTGGTCTCATTACTCCAGAGTACAGAGTCCCAGTCTTCTTTTTCAGCATGGGCCCTGGCAAATTCTAGGTGGGCTTTTTTGTGCATGGGCTTTAGGAGATGCTTTCTTTGTAGTGTACGCTGTATTGTGTAACAGGAAACAATCACCCCAGTTTGGTATTCTACTTCTTTAGCTAACTGCAGTAAACTTGCATGGTGATTTTCTTCAACCTTTCTCATCAGAAGACGCTCCTGTCGAGGCTTTAACTTCCGTGGACAGCCTGGATGTCTCTGTGAGATGGTTGCAGTTCCATCTTTGTTAAATTTTTGTATAATTTTTGCTGCAGTATTCTGACTGATAAGTAAAGCTTTGCTGATCTCCTTGTAACCTTCACCTTTCTTGTGTAAAGAAATTATTTTCTTTCTCAAGCCTTGTGACATTTCTCTTCCATATGGTCCCATCGCTGACAGCATTAAATGGGAGGGGTTTTCTTTGTTAAGTAACGCCCTTTTATAATCAACTGTGTGCTGGACACCTGTTTAATGAATAACTAGACTCACCTGTAGTTGAATTCTTATTAATTAGGATTTTGTTGTGTAAAATTTAGCTTTACTCCTAAGACTTTCATTGAGGTGTATTCATTTTTGCAACATGGTCTTGAATGAACTGGTTAGGAAAAAATACTTTTTTGCGTTTGCAAATTAACAAATCTTGTTCACAATCAATTACCTGCATATGTGGGAGTATTTTGTAGTATAGCACCTCATAGAAAATGTTGATTCTTAAAAGAATGTAAAGGTTTTCTGACAAACCTGTTGGGGTGTACTCATTTATGCTGAGCACTGTATGTCAGGTTCTTTAGTGTTCTCTGCATTCTTGTGCCTATGACATGTGTTTTCTGTCATTTCATATCTTTGTGTCACCCTCAGTTAAGTGTCAATTTTAACTCTTACCCACTTTATTGAAAACTAAAAACGTTTTGGCTGTAGTTGGCCTTTAAAGGAAACTGTAGAGAGGGATTTATGCAAGCTATTGTTGCTAATCTCAGCTTCTACAGCCTGGATGTCATGGTGTACAATGACTTAAATGATTTCCGAGTCACTGACCTGGAACCAGTATGCAGATCAGGAGTTTTGACCAGACTGACTCCAATTGCTGAGCACTTGTTCACTTGATGCAAAAATGAATACACCCCACAACAAAAAATCTGAACAACTTTTAGGCTGAATGTCTTTTTCATTATTATACAACAAAGGTGGTGTAGTGATATATGTACCAGACTGATGTGTACTGCTATCAAGGCCTTACTTAAGAAAACAAGCTTCTTTTATCAATGCTGAATAAACACAGGGGCATTTAAATTTGGTCATCATTGTCTGTTAGCCTGAAGATTTTAATGGGTCTGATTTAAGTCCTTTTCTGGTTATTAGATAGCCTGAAGATTTTAATGGGTCTGATTTAAGTCCTTTTCCAGTTATTAGGTCCATCCAAAAACACTCTGCAGCTTGTTTAGGTCCCTATTTATCTCAAGGAAACAGCAGACCCAAGGCTACAGACAATCAGTATTCTCCCATTCTGACCATTGGGTCCAAATGGAGCAAGAATCATCTTGTGTTTCTGGGAACATTAGGAGCCTATCATGTGGACTGTTTTCATGACAGAATTTATTATTTAAACACTGCCATTATTTCTTACCATCACATCCTTTTTCCATATCCTTATATGCATCAGTTTTTTATTCTTATGTATTCATAACTTAATCTGTACAGATAAATAAATAAATAAATAAAAAGTTCTCATAATTAAAGATGTGATGGCATGTACTTAATTTGCCTAGGTTCAGTTGAAGCAAGGATTATCTTGTATTTTGGGGTACCTTAAAGTGTACCTGGACTCTGGAAGCTGTGCCCACAAAAGGCAGGCAGAAGGCAAAGAACTAGTCATTAGAATTGCCTGTAGTCTCCCTGCAATTCATCTTTCCCCATTACTGACCTAGCTTGCCTTTTTCAGCACTGTGTCTCTGAGCATAGGCAGCCATTATCGTAGAGGCAGGACTTTGCTATATTTTTAACAGCCTCTGACATGAAAAAGCAATGTTGAATTAAAGACAAACACCCCCCCCCAAAATAAAAATCAAAAGAAACAAAAAATATTGCAAGGGGATGGGGGTGGGCTGGTTGAGGAGCTTGCAAGTAAGTACACCTGTCGTGGATAAAGAAACATTACTACTAATATATGATCCATACAACTGTGAACATGATATGTGGATATGGGGAATAGCAAGGGATATTAACTCACCATTGCAATACCCAGTATAGCTATTTATAAACAAATTGTCAGCTCTTCCTAAAAGCTCCAACACACACTAAAAATATGGCTGCTGTGAGTTCACCTATTTAAAGACTGGATTATTATGTTATTAATATGGATTATTATCTTTTTAAAAGACTTCTTTTTTAAATTGTCATTTTGACTGGGGTTCTGCTTTAAGTATGGATACCTGACTTATCAGACTCACTCACAGAAACAAATGTATTGCTTTGGTTTTAAACTTACTTGGTTACATAGTTTTAAGATTATGTGATAAATTCCATTTTAAGTGTCCTACAAAGCAAAATCTGCTAGTGTTAGTTTTCATTCTACTCTCTAAGGACAAGAAATATGCTTCCACTGCATTATACAGATGGTTAAGCTAGACTTCTTACGCTAATTATTACAGAAATAATATGAATCCAGACAGTCTGCCCTGGATATGTCATGCAGGTATGGAGTACTGTATTTTTCCTATAGAGGCTGCCAGCATTTTACCTTAGAAAAAATACACTAAACAGTTTTTCTCTTCAAACCTTTTCTATATGTTCAGAAGTTCACATTGTCTAAATTTCATAAAATTCCAGAACTGATTGATCATTCATTCCATTGGGCCTTACTCGGCCTTGTAAGTCAATCAGCTAAGACCAAATGTGACCTTTGCTTTGACTCCAAAGGATGTACAGTATACTATACGTCATAGCTATACCCTCTACTAGGTAGGCAATGATGTATGGAATATAGCTTGCCAATCAAAGGGTTAAAACAGCCTCAGAAGAACACAGATAAAACATCAGATACCTTTTAAGATTCCTGTCTCCATAAAGAGAATAAAAAAATTTAATTAAACAAACTAAAAGGATTAACAAATAAGCCACAACATACACTGTGAGGGTTTCACTCAAATGTAGTGCTTTTCTTCAACGCCACTCCTATTAGGGAAGTACATTTAAAGGGTTTGGGGCCACTTTTATTTAAAAGAAAAAATAAAAAAGCTCACAGGGTTACCCTCACAGGGGTTTTCAGCATCACCACAACAGGACATACATTTTTCAGCCTCCTGACTATCACAACCCACCTTGGACTGCACAGGCTCCTGCCCAGTGCACAGTGTCTTTGCATCACTTTCAGGCCACAGCCTATTCAGACCTGGCCACCTCTCCTTGAGGCCAGGGTAGACACTCTCCTAGTGTCTCTCCACCCATACACGCTGCTCCGGCAGCAGTTTATCTCAAGGGGAAAGGAGCCCTGAACCATAGACAGCCCCTTGACTAAATGGGCTGTGCACACCAGCACCATCAGGATGCCAGTTTACTGTTAAATTGTGGACAAATCCAGTTACCAATCCTGGAGAAAACTGCAAAACCCATTTTCTTCACTCAGAACAGCCATCCCAGAGCCTCTCAGCCTGGAGAACCCTTGGTGATGTCTAATGCTTCTGACAGGGTGCCAAGGCAGAACACTGTCATGTCACATACATGCAATTAAGCACACAGACATACATGGAACAAATATTACGCTACAAATAGAGCCATTGTTTTTTTATAACCATAAGCAAATAAAGTAGTAAAGGCCTATTAGAGCTTTGTGTACCTTTGATTCACAATTTCACAGAAATGCTCAACTTTGGGGTCCATTCATACCAGGTGTGGTGGGACTGCATTGGGCAGCTATTTCATCACAGTCCCACTGCACCCCCAACGCACTGCCACCACAAGACAAGACAAAATGCCTTGTCTCCTGTGTGCACAGATCACACCACTGCGTTGTGGTGGGTGTGTGGGCGGTATGCACCGAAAAGCAGTACTTTTTTTCCAGGGCAGTGTGGGTAACCGCACGCTGTGTGATGGAACGCTATGAAATGTAAAGTTTGTTTAAATAAAAAGAGTTAACAATAGGATGTGCCATTATCAGAGCATCACCACTGGAACACACATCAGCTTCTGAGTTGCAATGCAGCGGCTAATGTGAACAAGCCCTTGTATTTACACATATTTGTTCTTTATTAATGCAAAACAGTGTTGTATTTCAGTTATGAAAGGTCAAGTTTAATATGGTAAAGATCATGTTTTTATTTAGTAGGTCCTGTGAATCAATGTGACAAACTCCTGCGCTCCTACCTAAAAACAAATACCTACCAACAAAGGTAAAGCTGTTACATACAGTCATATACCCATAGACAAAAAATATAAATGAAACACAAATGATGCAGCGCTACTACCATAAAAATTCTTCACACATAAATGAATAAGTGAAACAGTGCAAAATTAGTGACACAAATAACATAAACACACAATATTAAATAGTGCCAAAAAACTCATAAATAATCACGTGTGACAAGTGTCAATACGAGGTCCTAAGAGGACCAAATAACATAAATGGTGCCCCAAGTAATCCAATGGGATCCAATAGTGCTCCAAATCAAACAAGTAAGTCACAACAGGACTCAATGTGCTAAAAAACCTCCCACCGGAACTAAAAATCAGTTCCCACCATATAACACAAAACACACGTGCATCCCAATAAACGCATAAACTAAGAACTGATCATGCAAACAAACATGAATAAATGAATAAATATATAAAGTCACCTGACAATATACAAAAAAAACATATATAAAGTCCACAGCAAATCTTGAAGAAAAAAAAAAAAAATGCCGATAAATGTGCAGAGATATTCAAAAATGGCTGAATTGCCCGCTCACCTCCCTCTT